TGAGTACTGGCTGGGTAACGAGGCCGTGCACCTCCTGACGAGCCAAGCACCCTACGCCCTGCGCATCGAGCTGCGGGACTGGGAGGGAGGCCAGGTCTATGCCCACTACGGGAAATTCCAGTTGGGCAGTGAGCGGCAGCTTTACAGGTAAGAGAAAGGCACCAGCCAGCCCTCCCCATCTCCAGCTGTCCCCGAGCCCCGCTGGCAAGGGTGGCCACGGGCAAGGGCTGGCACTGGTGCCCCAGGGAGACAAGTGGCCACGGGAGGTGCAGAGATCCCGAGGCAGGGATGTTGTTCTCCTGCCACCGGGCTTATGAGGATGGTGTGTGGTCCCAGGAACTTCAGCCTGGCCATGGGTGGGAGGGGTGGTGGGCAGCTGGGTGCCTTGGTGCTGGGCTGGAGATGGGACCAGACCCTGGAGATCCCCTGCACCATGCATCGCGAGCATGCACTGAGCAAACCTCCAGCAAAAAGGACTAGAGGAGCCTCAGGGGGATCAACCTCCACCCTTGGGGACCCCCAGGGCAGGCCCTCCAAGCTGGCAGACCCAAGTCAATCTGGACCTGCAGGATCTCTACCTGCATCCCTCCGTGCCAGCCCTTGCCCAGCTCATGGCATCATCCCATGGCCATCGACACCCCCGAGCAGGGCTGTGGGGCTTTGCGAACACCCCCCCAGCAGCAGCCAGCTGGTGTTGATGGTGGCCATGGCCATGGCCATGCCGTGCTGGGCCGGGTGGCAGGCTCTCGCTGCAGGACTACAGCGGCACGGCCGGGCAGCAGAGTGGCATGGCACTGCAGGGCACCCGCTTCAGCACCCGAGACGCCGACAACGACAACTGCCTCTGCAAGTGTGCCCAGATGCTGTCGGGAGGTGAGCGAGCCAGGGGGGGATCCCCACGCAGCACCCATGGGTGCCCACCTGGGATGCCACCTTCCCAGCCTGCTTCCTCCTCGCAGGCTGGTGGTTCGATGCCTGTGGCCTCTCCAACCTGAACGGCATCTACTACCCGGCCCGGCACAACATCCGCAAGCTCAACGGCATCCGCTGGCACCACTTCCAGGGGCCCAGCTACTCCCTGAAGGGCACCCGCATGCTGATACGACCCGCCAGCTTCTAGCACGCCGGTGGCCAGTGCGGCACCACAACCGGTGCCAGCCTGGCACAGAGGGAGGGGGCCAGGAGGGGGCTGGGAGAAGGGACGGCTGGGGGAGACTGAGCCCTCCCAGCCGCTGCAGGGAAGCTTTTCCCTCAGTTACTATTTTTTTACTATTTTCTATCCCCTCCTCTGAGATCCTGTGGAGCAGGGCTGAGCCTCCAGCTCCCCACGCTGCCTTCTTCACCCAAGGATGGGGGTCCAAGACCCCCCTGGGATCCCCTGCACGCCCAGCCTGGCTCCAAGGCACAGCGGGGGCTTTGCCTTTTCTGTAAGTTTTAGGGCATTGCAAAGCCTCCACTGTCCCACTTTTCCCACAGGATTAGGGGAGCTGGTGAAGGATGGGGGTTCCTGTGAGTGTGAGGGTCTGGTGCCATCCTTCCTTCCCGTCCTGCCTGGGCATGGCCCAAGCCACCATCCCCACCCATGGCACCAGAGAGACTGCTCCTTGCAGGGCTGGGCTGGGCATTTTCGGCCCCTGGGGTGGGTGGGAAAAGCAGGGAGGATCTTTGGGGACCCTGGGGGGACTGTCCCTGTGCTGAGATGTCCAGCAGCCCCATGCTGGGGGAGGTTTGAAATGGGGCTGGAGGTGGGAGGAGGTGGGAAG